TGACTCTATTGAGATAATAATCTAATATTTTTAATTTAAACTTTTAATATTAAAAACTACTATAATTGACTTGCTAATATTTTTTTAATTTTTTTACTAACTTGCTAATGTTAAAGTTTGCATTGCTAGAATAAACCCAAATTGTTCAAAAATATATTTACCTTTTAATATATTCCTAGGTTTTTGCTAGTATTATGCACAGAATTTTTGAATTCATGTTCATGTATAGGATGGTTCTGTATATTTTCTTTCTCTTTCTGTTCTTCCCAGGTTTTGCTCCCCAAGGTTAACTTAGCCTTCTAGAATTATTTGGGGAAGTTACTTTCTCTTTTTTCATTTTGTATTCTCTACAATATTTTGTGTAGAATCAAAGCTTTTGTTCCTTGAATGATAAAACTTGCCTATAAGACTGTCTGGATTAGGTGTTTTAACTTAGGGTAGGTTTTAATTACTAATTCAATTTCTTTACTGTGTTTACATTCTGTACAAATAGTTGTGATTAGTCACATATTTCTTCAAGTTTATCTGTATTATCTAACATTTCCAATCAAATTGTTCCTATGACTCTCTTATTTTTTTATAATCTTTGCTACATCTCTGGTTATAGCCTCCTTTTCCATTTCTGGCCTCTCATTTTATTTTACCAAGCTTTCCAGAGGTTTCTCGGTTTTATTATTTTTTTTTAAGGATTTGGTTTAGTTAGTAATTTTTTGATGTTTGTTTGCTCTTTTTTTTTTTAACTTTTTCCATTTTTATGAGGGTGGCTTATTCTGTGTTTTAAATCACTTAAGATGGGATTGTGTAGTAAATTTTATTATTTGCAACAATTCATGTCATTTTCCCTATAAAAGGATTGTATTCCTTTGCCCACTGATTGTAGTCTAAACTCTGTAACTTGCTTTGAGAAATGGAACAAGAGCAGAAGGGACAGGGTCCCGGTTCTTTTACTCCCAATTCTAGGTAGAAGCTTTGAGAGGCATTTGAGAATTGCTGGCATAGAAGCCAAGCTTTCAGTCACAGAATGGGAAGACAGCAGAGCAGAGCCTATCCTGTTTAAAGCAGGTAGCTGAACTGTGGGTGACTCAACATTCTGTGTAACATGAGCAAAAAATGAATTTTTGTTGGTATAAGCACTAAGATTTTGAGCTTATTTGTTACTATATAGCAAAGTTGACTAAAACAGATACTGGTATCTTAAGGTGACATATTTCTATAACAACAATAACAAAAATCTGTGTATTCATCTTGGGACTAAAGGGCAAGTTATAAAGGAATGATTGATTATTGGAGGACGGAAAAGTAGTGAGCCACGGTATGAAGTGGCAAAACATTTAGCAAACTGTCACCTGCAATAACTTAGCAGACAATCTACTAATTAATGAGTGGCTTTGGGGAAAAAGGTTTCAAAATAGAATGTTACTAGTGTGACTTGGTTATTTTTTCCCCCAGAGTTGTCAGGTGAACTCAGAAAAGCACTAGGCTGCTTTGCAAGCAGGGGAAAAAAAGAAATGAGAGCGACCAGAAATTATAGGAATTATAAAGTTGAAAAACAGACCTGTTTCTAATTAGTAAAATAAACAGAAATGCTTTGAGCAACAAAGACATCATTAAGGCTCAGATGAAGATAAATGCCCAAAAAGGGGCATTGCCATTCATAACCTTTGTTAAAAACTCTGAATGGTTTAAGGTGACCCCTAGAATATCACGTTAGTTCGAATAAAATGGCTTACCAAAAAAAAAAAAGATACCCACAGTCTCCTTGAAGTCTCTTAGCTTAAGTTATCTGTAAATCTAGAAAGAAAGCCACATCTCAAAAGACCAGTGGTATAGCTATTTGCCCATGCTGCTGATTGAAATCAACTTAACTTTTTAAAAGCACATATTTTTAAGAGATATTTTGCCAGAAGTTCCAACAGGCTTGATTAAAAGAGACTAACTGCTAAGGCATAAGACAATTTAGGGGTCCCCACTTTTTTACAAGGGGAAAACAGGCTTAGGAAGAGGCTAAACTCCTAAAGATGCATATTATCCAATGCCCTTATGAGATGTGGTCTAGGAATATAATAGAAGACTCTTGGAGAAATGATTTCAGTACCTAGGAAAACAATGGACTGAGCAAAATAAGGCCTAATCAAGTAAAATTTCTTTCCATTGGGAGTGTTTGTTGTAGCTATTTGAGGTAAGTGCATTTCATTTGATAGATCCCCAGAGGTTCACCTAATAGAAAGATTGTCATGAGACCTAGGTTTTGAACTTTTGCTGAGATTGAATGAGATACTCAGGATCTCTTCTTCAGAGGTGGCGATGAATAGAGTTTGATTGCAGAAGGAAGGAAACTGAATATTTTTTATCAAGATAGCAGGTGGTAGTATACTTCCTTGTAATACATCTCAATCCATTGACTTTTGGCTTGGGCATGGACTTGCTTTGACAATGTGCCAGTTCTGAGTAAAAGCTTTGAGGTGCGAATGAGTTTCCACCAGTTCTCTGGTTCTTCATCTTAGCCATAAAAAAACAAGAACAGACTGGTCTCCACAGAGGGTCTTTCAGCCTGGATCTTGCAATGAGAAGATGCATGGAGCAGAGCCACAGGCCAGATCAACACTGGGGCCAAGCAGTAGTTCACACCCAGCTACATGTATTGTGAGAAATAAATAAATTTCTATCACTGTAGAACACTAAGATTCATGATTGCTTGTTACCATAGAAAAACTAACTGAAACAGATACTTCATCATTTTTCCTACTTCTTTCCTTATTAAAGAAATTCAAAGTATAACATTCTCTTTAAGTATTGCTTAAAGTAGTCTACAAGTTCATATATATATATATAGTATGTATATATATATATAGTATGTATATATATATATAGTATGTTCATAACCATTCAGTTCTAATTCCCATTTTCATTTTTTTGTTCCATGTCTAATTTAAAGTGAGTTTCCTAATGTTCAAAAATATGAGAGAGTTCTACTCATTTTTCTAATTGATTTCTAATTTGATTGTATTTTAATAAGAAAAGGTGGCCCATATTATACCAATCCTTTGAAATCTCTTGAAGCTTTCATCAGGGCTCAGTGTGAATCAATTTTCATAAATGTCCCAAGTGCAGTAGGAAAGAATGTATGGTGGCACAGAGGTCAAAACCCAACAAGCACACTAAATAATAACAACAGCAACAACAAAATCCGTTTGTATCTTCAAAGTGATTGATATGTGTGCTTCCCTTATTTTCCAGTGTGCATCTAGGAAAGTTTCATCTGGAAGAAGTATGTAGAAAACCCTTTGCCAGGAGAAGGGTTTAGTGATAATAAAAATTTTTAAAACATTTGCGCACTCCAACAAGGGGTTGGTTGGGCTGTGGGGAGATTGGTGGGAACACGCACTGGCTTGGATAAAGAACATGGACATATGTGAAAGGAATAGGGATTTGGAGATGTTCCCATAGCCTCTCCCTCATCCATCCTCCTCTCACCCATCCCCCACACAACAATTAAAATGCTGCCAGTCAGGCCAGAAGTGATCATGTGATTCTCCTTCCTTCCTTCTCTCCTTTCTTCTCTTTCTTTCTCAATCATTTATTGGATACCTGCTGTCTACCAGGCAATATGGTAGATATGAAGATGAATGAGTCTTAGCTTCTACTTTCAAACTCTTACACATTTATTCAGACACCAATAACAATAATGAAAGGCAAACTTAATGCAAGGCACAATGTGTTGGAGAACAAATGAGAAACGAGCCAGAATGCCCCAGGTAGAGAAAGGATTCTAAGTACCCCATGGTGGAAAAAGAATTTGTCTGGAACCTTAAAATAGTCACTCGGGTTTCCGTGGTTGGAATATGGACAGCATCAGAAATGCCACTAAGATTATCAGTAAACGCATCAGTTTCCTGAAGGAAAGAATAGTTGGATCCTTAGTGTTTTTATATCTGCCAATGCTGTAAAGTTTCCTAAGATGATTACACAAGTTTTCTTTTATTCATTAACTTTCTATTCCAGATATGACATACATTAATAATGATCTATATTCTTTATAAAAGTCCTTTCCAATAGAAATATATAGTGAGCCACATATTTAATTCAAAATCTTCTAGTAGTAATATTTTAAAAAGTAAACAGAAACAATTAAAATTAATGATATCTTTTGTTTAACTTAACATATTCCAAATATTATTTAAATATGTAATAGTCAACACAAAAATATTAATGATATATTATGATCTTTTTTGTTGAATTCAGTGTGTATTTTACATTTACACTATATTTCAATTCACACTAGCCATATTTCAAGTATTCATTAGTCACATATAGCTAGCATATTGGATCGCTCAGATTGGATAATTAAAACATAAATGAATTGTTAAATATTTATATTGTTTATAACACAGGTAGGAAGGAAGAAAATATAGTAATCAGGAAAACAGTTTATGAGAGTCAAAGAGGTTTATACATTAAACGTCTAAATAAACTTGAGAACAACAACTAAAGGCTATATATAAAATTCAAGTTCATGTTCACAGAGAGCTCTTTAAGAAACTGATAAATTATTGTTTCTCCTATTTATATGACATGACTTTTGTTTTTAATTTACGTCAATGTGTTTTAAATTATCTTGTTTACAGGGTGGAGAGTTCTTAATATAATAAGTCATCACAATAGCAAGTGCAATGACTTTTTGGCCTTGTAGAGAGGAAATCCTATACTATAAGAGGCTACGCGATTTCAGGGCGGGGCCCTGTTATTCTGCAGAATAAGCCATTCAGGTTAATCAAGGCCTAATTCAGAGCCAAAATGAATATAATGACTGCTTGGGTTGAACTCCATGTGTTCTGAGAATAGGATTTGATCAAATCCTAAACTTCATTAGTTGAGCAACTGACATATTCGGTGCACTTTGTTATTCCTTGGGATTGGTAGTTTTATAAACCAGTTTGTCATCCACAACTAACCAAAATATTCCAGAATGTTATGTTTGTGTTTTTGTTGTGTTTTTTTAGGGAGAACTCAAGAATAAACCAAGTTTCTTTGTGGTGATGAGCATACCAGACTTCAACGAATGAAGAATTATTGGAAAAGAAGTAGATAGAGGTAAAGGAAACACAATTCTCTCATCTCTGTGCTTTGAATTTTAAAGCAAAGTCAGACTGTTAACAGAAGGTATGAGAAAATACTGGAATGTATGACCAAGGGGTAGACCCAGGGAGATAGATTCATGTGAGCCATGTGACAAAGGAAGATTTAAATTGAGATTGTTTGAGCTTTGAATCAATAGTCCCAGTATATCCTAAGATGTGATTTTATTCACATTCATTAATATTCAATTTATGAAACAAAATAAACAACAGTGACCAAACTTTATCTAGATATTTTGAAATACAACCTAAAAATCCATTTGCTAACCATCCTTTTGGGGCTAGCTTGTTCATAGATTCAAGAATGACTTTTGGAGATCAAAGTTTCCAATTTATTCTTGTTTTCTAATAAAAGTCATAGTCCATGATAGAAACTTGTTACAATACTGCCAAATTCTCCTGCATCCTGAATAGAGTGTGAGATAATCACCATCATCACCCAGGTGGTCTTCGAGGAGCCCTGATTGAATGCCAAAACACAAAAGTCATACGCTAAGTAGATAGAAGATAAACATCATCACTTCATCCATGTAGTGGCCTCCCAGGCTTCTATAACACATTAGCAATGTTTGAATTGTTGTCATCAATATAAAAAAAACAAACAAACACCAAACTTTGCACAGTGCTTGGTGTCCTTCCAAGTTTCATGCAGTATGCAGTTTGCAAAGTGAGCCCAACCTTAAATGTACCCCCCAGCCCCTCTCACTAATTATTCATTAAGCTTATTTCCCAGCCGACTTCTCATTTCCATAACCTATTTTCCTCTTCACCTTTCTACTTCTCTGCTCTAGTTTTAATTTTTTTTTTCCTTTCTTACTTTCTAATGCAAAAGTACATTATGTCCCTAGATAGCACATTTTTTATATTCAGGTTAATATTCTTGGACTAAAACATTTATCTGTACCACTATTGGTCCCTGAAGCAATCCTGAAATGGCAATCCATTTAAAGCAGAACTCCAGTCTAGATGCAAAGGCACGATCCCTCAGCTATAAAAAGGGTCCAAATTTCATTGTATTTCCTATTAATGTTATTTATTTTAAAGGCTATGGAGCCCCTTGCTTAACTATTTTTAGAGTGTCAGAGAACATGTAACCAAAAAGGTCATCTCTTCCTTTACATTTTTGGTAAATTAAGTGGTTGAGGAAGATAACAGCCTTGGACAAGGAATTTTGTCCTCAGGCACAATCCTCCAGCTTAATATTGGCTGTTGGATCATGAAAACTTTATTCAACTTCTCTAAACCTCTGTTTCCTCATATGTAAAATGGGAATAATAACGTACCCACATTAATGTTACTGAGAGCATAAATGAAATAATATGCAGTTCCTCAGGCATGAGGGGGACTCAAGAAATTAGTTGTGTTATCTTACCATCATTATAATAATACATTAGTATTATCATAATGAGATCAACATCAGTGGGAGAATAAATCTCCATGGAGTCCATTCCATGTCCAAAATACAGATTGACAAAGAATGATCAGATGGCAGGAGCTGTGTCTGGGGGCTGGGAGAGGGCTATCCCAGTTTGACTAGAAAACAAAATATAAATGCTTGATTCTTTCCCTTTATTTACCACCTAGGCATGTTACATTTGGTTGATAAATCTCTTAAGTCTATTTTAGTTGATAGGCTCCTCCACTTTATTCTATTGATATATGTTGGAAAAATTGAGTCATTTGATCTTTAGCGTTTCCCTCAGTCTGGATTTTGCTAACTGCATCCCTGTGGTATAGTTAGTAGGTTCCCGTGTTCTCTGTCAGATTTAGATTTGATTTTTTTTTACAAAACTTCTCTATAGTCAATGTTGAATTGTTCCATTGGGAGGGACATAGTCTTTCTTTTAATTTTATAAGCTGCCAATGATGCTCAATGTCTGGATCGCTGATGGGGATCAGTGGGGTGCAAAGGGCAGTGAAAAGATAATGCTGCAATTCTATCATTCCTTCATTTATTTCCTAGAATACTTCTAAAAAGGTAAATGTCCCCTCATCTACCACTTGGTTTCCCAAAGGTACAAAATAGGAAAGGCATAGTAAATGCTCGATCCCTCCCTCCTCTCCTATTTTTTACCAGATCTAAAAATAATGAGTAGGTGTCCTAGCATTCTGGGACCAATATATTTTGCTGATGGTTACTGACTTATTTTTTGTAAGTATTATTTATAAGTATTATTATGAACCTGTTGATTTAAACAGATTTGGTATTAAAGTATTGCAGCTTGCATCCTTATTGATGATCACATCATTTCATCTTTTTTCTGATAACACTGATTTATTGTAATGTATGGTTACTTGCACAGTAACTAAAAGAAAAAGACAAAAATCCATAAATATAAAGAAACTTTGAAAATAACAGAGTTTACATAGTTGTATATATAAAACCCTGCTAAAACAACTATATAACAGGTTCTTTTCTAGTATTATTAGAATTGCTCGATCTTTTGCCAATGGTTCCTCTTTAGGATGATTCCTGAATCCTTTTAACATGACCTTCATCGTGTCTGATAACTTCCTTCCTAATTAGAATGGTAAAATGTTTCAGACTCATGTGGCACATTTTTTAGTTCCAAGCACTTTGGTTTGTTTTAGTGAGAAACAGTATTTCAAGATAGAAGCCTGAGTGCAAGGGAGCTCATTTCTCTTTGGTTAGTCATGGTTTTTAGGCCTTTCCATTAGACTAAGTAAAAGTTCTGCACCCAATACCACCATGGGGGTGAAGGGTGGGTTCCCCCACACATCTAACAAGCAATTTTTCAATTTGACTCAATTCTGATGTCTTAGATTTGACTCAATTCTGACACTATCTACCTAGAGATGGCATCAGATTCTACACTACAAGATTGCACCTCAACACAAATACTTCAGAGGCCAATCACAAGCCCAGGTTGTCACCTGTGCTCCTGACTCACCTGCTACAGATTAGAGGTTCCATCGACCCCTTTCTTGGGTTTGATTAATTTCCTAGAATAGCTCAGAGAACTCAGAGAAGCATTTCAATTAGTAGGTCACTGGTTTATTATAAACATATAACCCAGGAACAGCCAAATGGAAAAGATACAGAGCAAGGTACAGGAAGGGGCTCGGAGCTTCCACAACCCCTCTAGGTGCACCATTCTTCCAAATCTGCACAAGTTCACAAACCCAGAAGCTCTTTAAATCCCGTCCTTTTGAGTTTTTATAGAGGCTTTATTATATAGGTGTGATTGATTAATCATTGGCCACTGGCAGTTGTTTCAACCTCCAGCCCCTCTCCCCTCCATGAAAGTTGGGGTTGGGGTTGGGGAGTGGAAGTGAAAGTTCCAACCCTCTAGTCACAAGGTTAGTTCGCCTGGCAACCAGCCCCAAAGGTGTCCAAAAGTCACCTTTGTAACAACAAACGCCACCTTTCTCACTCTCATCACATAGGAAATTCCAAGGGTGATATGAGCTCTGTGCCAGGACTAGTAAACAAAGACCAAATATATATTTCTTATTATAAATTACAATATCACACAAAGCTAGGATTTCTTTTTGAGATAAATTACATCAAGATCCCTACTGTTATGAACTGAATGTTTGTGTCCCCCAAAATTCATATGTGGAGATCCTAACCCCCAAGGTGATGGTGTTAGGCAGGGGGGGTCTTTGAGAGGTGATTAGGTCATAAGAATGGGATTAGTTTCCTTATAAAAGAGACCCCAGAGAGCTCTCTAGCCTGTCTTCACCATCTGAGGATACAATAAGAAGATAGCCATCTGCAAATGAAGAAGAGGTCTCTCATCAGACACCAGATCTGCCAGCATCTTGATCTTGGACTTGCCAGACTCCAGAACTGTGAGAGATAGATTTCTGTTGTTTAGGCCACTCAGTCTATGGTATTCTATTATAGCAGCCTGAACAAACTAAGATACCTACAGTATCTTCCTATTTAAATTTGAGATTATAGGGTTTTTATTTCATCTCTCCTATCTTATACTCTTACTTCCTATCTCCTATTCTGAGGGTGGCAGTCTGAGGCACTCTCAAGGACACAAGGTTAGTTGAATTAAATCATCACATAACTACTGATTTGTTTATATCCAGATTAACATATAACACTCTTGGAATAAAATGCCAACACTGTGACTAATAATTATTACTGGTAATAACTTAAGATTTTTCTTAATTTTTGATTGATTTCTTGATTACCATTTCTTTTGTCCTTAGGACATACACCATTAAGTACATACACTCAAATTTCTGGGTTTTAAAGTCATGTAAAATGAAATACTTCTTCCCTGTGTGGCTATGTGACAAACTGAATATACAAATGTAAGTGTGTATGCATGTGTGTGTGTCTTTTTAGTGATAGAGATTTTTTAATTAAGTCAAAATTTTTAATTATGCAAAATATGTAGTTCCAAAGTAAAATATATGAATAAGGTATATTTAAAGTCTAGCTTTTTTTTTTTTTAAGATTCTACTGATTTACTTTAGAGAGAGCATGCAAGCGCGGGGAGGGAGAGGGACAAGCGGACTCCACGCTGAGCACAGAGCTTGATGCAGGTTTCAATGCAGGACTCAATCCCATGATCCTGAGATCATGACTCTGACTGAGGTTATGACCTGAGCTGAAATCAAGAGTCAGAAGCTCAACTGACTGAGCTACCCAGGCATACTATACTTAGATAAATATAGTGTACGATACATATTTTCTCCACCTTGCTTTTTCACTTCACAGTATATTCTAGACATGTCCATAGTAGTGCATGGAGATTTTTTCCATTCTTTTTAGTAGCTGCATAGTGCCCTCATTGGATGGTTATGATAGTCTACTCCACCACTTCTCTTTTGATGTATATTTGAGGTGGTTCCAGGATTTTCATAGGATAAACAGTCTTTCAATAAATAGTCTTGGGCGCCTGGGTGGCTCAGTTGGTTAAGCGACTGCCTTCGGCTCAGGTCATGATCCTGGAGTCCTGGGATCGAGTCCCACATCGGGCTCCCTGCTCGGCAGGGAGTCTGCTTCTCCCTCTGACCCTCCTCCCTCTCATGCTCTCTGTCTCAAATAAATAAATAAAATCTTTAAAAAAATAA